TATTAGTTCGATTTATAAAGATTAGGTGGAAACGAGGTTCGAACTTTCTTATTATGTGGAAATTGGTTGTCTAACTTCAACGGTGTGCAATTAGGACGACGTCGAAACTTTGTGTACATTTATTACTATGCCATAGTTCTGGTGTGGAAATACGTCGTCTTCCCCTTATTTTCAAAAAGAAGTTACAACGCTCTTAACTACAAATTGTAGTCTACTTCTATGCTTATTTTTCCTTATCTGAATGTTACTCCCTCTGTTTCAATATAAGTGTCACTCTACAGCTATGCACACGGATTAAGAAAACAATTAATTTTACATATTTTTTATATAAAAACACAATTACCCATACACCTAACCATATTTTAACCAATAGAAAAACAAATTACATAATAAAATTAATAAATTTTGCATTGAGAACCGAAAACGACACTTATTTTGTAACACAAAAAATTCTCTACAACGACACTTAATATAAAACGGAGGGAGTATATCGTGTGAATCTGGGGATGTTTAATAATCATTATCATGTTTTGGTACACAGAAAATAGTACGTGTCACTGTCACTGTCATTGTTTTCCAAAAACCATGCTAACCTTCGGCATCATTTTAGTTTTATTGGCTCTTCACAGAATCTTTTTTCATGATAAGATATGAGTTACAGCTTAGAATGAACAGACCTTAATGGATTTTTAACCTTCTTATAAATTATTGTATCTTAATTTGACAATGGACCGACATCAGTTAGATTTTTAATTTCAATTTGAATTTGAAAAAAATGCATTGAATTTGGACATGTAAATGGTAAAAACGAAAGCAGCACTGATGTGATTTCCTTTTTCCTTTTTTTTTAAAAGATAGTTTTATTTTTACCGAGTGAAACTATATTATATTATATGGAAAATAGTCATCTTTGAATATAATGACAGAAGAAAAATTACAAGTTTCACCCAAAAACAAAGTAAAACAGATACGAGCAATAGTCCTTATCACATCCTAATATCCTATAGAAAGGAGATGAGAACAAGTATTTGGCAGTGACATGCTTTTTAGAAAATTGTTTATTTGTATATGAGCACTAAATTTCCAACATAAGAAGACGGGCTTATATTTTTTTCTTATTCATTTTCGAATAGATATCCTTACTAATTTTTAAATTATATTTCAAATCATAATTTCGTATAAAAATTGAATACGTAAAGTTGTATATTAATAGTAATCTGAACCAATAAACTATGATAAACAAGTTTATATCTTTTGTATTTTTTAAAAATTTATATTACTTAACCATGTTACGGCTATTCCTCATATGATGGTTTTTCTTTTGGGCATTTGATGCATGAAACTAAAGATGCATGAAACAACCCAAAACAAAGTCTTAATAACAAAAACAGTTGATGTAAGAAAAAATAGTTTCATCAAACATCGAAACCAAAGTGAAACAGAAAAAAACGCAAGAAACATCGAAGAAGAAAATTAAATTAAACCTTGGGAAAACATCCTTCAAGATTTAATTTAATTTATGTTTTTATCAAAATTTTTTTATGAAATGACAATTATAGGAAAATATATTTTAGTAAAACTGGATAGAATTGTGCTTTTCCACGAAACGTAAAGTTAATTTCTATTAGTCAAAAGAAAAAGTTAATTTCCGTACGAGAAATGATCATGTGCAAGAAAGAACAAAATAAAATAGAATTCAACGAATTTTATAACATGTCCAGTTATCAAAAACAAGATGAGAACAACAAGTACAAATTGATCCCTGATGTTTTTAGTTGTTCTTCTGTTTTACTTTAATTCTTTCGTCAACAAGGATGTTTTAGCTCTATATAATAATCATTAATGGATAGGAATAGAAACAATTAAATCAGGAGGGAAGCATAAGTCAATTCGGAGAAAAACACATTGCTAATTCTAACTGGTTACATTAATAGTAAATACAAAGTACTGTATTTGATTATAACATAGTTTTTTTTTTTTGAACCTTCTCACGATTAAATCTTCCGTAAAGTTCGAGTTTTTCGATCTTAGAAGGATTCGTAATTAACATAAAACTAGAGCTTGACCCGCACATCCATGCAGTTTATTTTTACATTTTTACAAATATATATATATTTATTTTATATATAATAATATATAATTTTAAAATATATATATGTATTAAATTCTTGTTTAATATGACATTTTTAAGCATTAATGATAACTGAAATCAGTATTAAAAAACGTTGACTATATGCTATTAAATGGTCCAACGTGATTGAATATGTAAATTATAGTTATTATGCACTTCTAATATTTTCATATTTAAACTTCTATATTTTAGAAAAAAAAAATCAGTAGCATAAACTGTTATATGAGAAAATCTAGGGGATATCCAAAAATGATTTTGTTTTTAAAATTAAAAAACAATTTAAGAAATGTATGAAATTAACTGAAAAGATAACATTACTAAAAATTAGGATTATTAATAAATATAATGGCATTGTTGTGTAAATAACTTGAAAAACTAAGGGGTATATTTTATTAGTACTTCTATTTTAATAAGACAGACTAGATTTTGACCCGCCCTTAGAAAGGACGGATTTTGTTTTTTATTGTTTTTATTAAATATCTAACCACATTTGTAAATTGAGAGTATATGATTGGATATATTTATTCGAACCCACAAACTGAACGTACCAAATTAAAAACCCAAAACTAAATTGAATTTCACAAATAATAGAGTATTTTTAGATTCCATTGTCGTATATAACTCGGATTGACATATGTTCTTCAAGTACCATTCTATCAGAGGTTTTGCCAGCTGATATGTTTTAAACCCGTTGGTCGTATAACCCGCATGTCAACTACTTTTTTTACTTAAAATTTTGACCCGTTCAACCCGCGGTTCCAAATTCACCATACCACATCCTCCCCGCTTAATTTTACGGGTAACCTGCGAGTTCCCTAAGTAATATTTTATCTAAAAAATAAACATTCTCATTAATTTTTTTAAAAAATAATAAAATTTGTAAATAAAATTTAATATTATTTTTAAAGAAAATCCTGATCTATTCAAATTTTTTTTTTTTAAAAGACTTTATTTTTAATTTTTTCGAAATATATATTATTGGTATTTTTGAACAAAACGTAGGTTAGTTAAGGGAAGATATTATTGGTATTGTTAACAAAATCATAGGATAGATTTGTTAACAATATCGAAGGTCTAACATTGTGACGATTTGGGCATCTCGTAATTATAGTATACCTTAGCCCATCTGAAAATATGTTAAGATTTGATAGATATACTTGTTACCAAACAGCCATTAAAAATAGCTGGTAAACCTTTTACCAAACACTCCAATTCGTACTTCTACTTTAATTAGATAGATAATTATTGATTTGATGTATTGTTAAACATAAATATAACTAATGATGTGAAATATAATTAATGATGTGATGTATTGTTAAGGTAATATAATTAATGAAATTATTAAAAAAATATTACATTTTTTTTATAGTGTTATCCATGTTTCCAAACAATTCTCATTTAAATTACTATCCATATTTCCAAACAATTCTCAAATGTACTTCAGTTTTAATAATATAGATATCTAAAATATATTAAACCAGATTATTGAATCACGATTATCCGATCGAACCATATTGCGTAGAATAAGGGAAACAATTGGATGTTGTGTTATTTTTTGGAACAAACGAATAATTTTTTTTAGATTTTCTGGTGTTAAAGGTGATTGCTTAAATATAGGATCAGTTATAGTACTATATTTTAAAAACTGAATTTTAGATTGTGTAGTTGATAATTATTGGTTTTATCAACATATTATATACAATTAAATGTTGGTTCGTTAATATGCAACCAAAAACGAAATGCAAACCGGGATCAAATTATATTACAAAATCTCTACTTTTGGCTGAAATTTAAACAATTTTATAATTTTTTGGTGGATATGTAAACAACTGACTCAAAAGTTGGATTAGTTTATATGTTAACATGTTTGTTTTTGTAGTAAGTGAAGATGAAATAGATGAAAAACATTATTGTATTGGTTGTGAGTCGAGTAGAAAGAAGGTTCGGTTGGAGAGGTTACATTTCAGTTGATAAAAAGAAAAGAAAAACGGCCCAGTCGAAGGCCCAACCTTGATATGTGCTTGGTTTGGTTTAATTAACAAAAGAATTGGAAATGAAAGTAATTGATTAATGCTGGTATATATAATTAAAAGACAAAAAAAACCAGTGGCATACAATTGTAATTATTGTGGAAAAGTCTGGGGTAAGTTTAAATTGTACTTCAGTTTTAATAGTTTAGATGTAAGAGCATCCACAATTAGAATCTTTAGGGGAATCTTTAAAAAAAAAAATTAAATAATAAATAGATCTCACAAAAAATTAAGAACTCAGTTTTTAAAATTCTTTGAATAAAAACTATACATTTTTCTAAAAATTCTAATGGGTATCACCATCCGAGATCCTCTAAAAACTTTCAGTTTTTAATTGATTAAAATATGTAATATCGAGATTTTTAAAATGTTTGGAAACTTAAGAACACCCAGAAATGTCAATGTTTTCCTCTTATATTAAAACATATTATTAATGACTTGTCTCATGAGTATCTCATGTTTGACTCCATTAATATGTCTTTTTTCATGCCGTACGTACTACACCGCATTCTATAGGTACGGTATCTAGCTAGTGGTGGCATTGCTCACAGAGTGGTACAATATCCTCAATATATGAAACTAAAGTTCGGACAAGGATATATCAAACAAACTAACACATTACCATCAAAGAGCTAGATAAAATCAAAATTATCAATGTTTTATTTCATTATTAAACTTTAGTAACAATGTAACATCCAAACAAAGTATGCCTCTTATTTTAGTACTTTATTTTCTGTACATCGACAAGGAACGGTACGTGTTACGAGTACACACCAAATAGTAGAATACATCAATGTTTTTTTTTTTTTTTTTTTTTTTTTTTTTTTTTTTTTTTTTTTACATCAATGTTTAAGATATGGCTCATGGCTTATTAAATAACAGCCACCATCTGCCTTGTCCCATTGTACTCTCCCTTCAACAATCTCCTAAACCACTTAGCTGATTTCTTCGGATACCTCTTACGTCCATCTTCAAAGTCCACAAAAACTAGCCCGAAGCGGACCGTGTATCCTTCCGACCATTCGAAATTGTCCATCAACGACCATGCGAAATAGCCTTTCACATTCACCCCCATCCTACAATTTTATGTAAATATAGTCTTCAGTATCATTTTCATTTTATGTTAAAAGAATCAAATCAGTATATTTTCTATTCATTTTTTTCTAAATACTAATCAGCCAGGCATGGTAATACGGTCCTGATTATACTTAGTGTTGGCGTACTATCTATAATAACATGGAAACGTGAACGCAAACAAACAGTTGAAACTATGTTATGATATATGTGATGGGGAAAGAAGAGCTTACAAGATTGCGTCGCGAACCATCTCAAGGTGATGGGCGTAGTAGTCAATTCTCAAGTCGTCATCGAGAAAGACTTTTCCAATGCTAGCTTCATCAACTCCTACATGTTTATTTTTTTTAACCAGAATAAACTAATATTAGTTTAAACTAATCTTTGGTTTCTAAATCCTCAGTTATTTTTAAAGATAGAATTTATAGATGTTAAATATTTACCGTTTTCTGTTATGTACAAGGCGGGATCATTGAATTTGAGTTTGGCATGTAGTAGAAGATCACGAATACCCTCAGGGTATATCAATAGCCAATCAGACCCAGCCTGAAGTAAACCATATCTCAGTAAGATAAACAACTATTTTTTAGATAAACAACTCTTTTCAATGTCTAAAACGAAGTAAAAAATCTAACATTATGTTTTTATTCAAATTTAAAACGACTTATATATATATATATATATATATATATATTTTTTTTTTGGAGTATTAACTTAGACTATCATGTGGATCTTGATTTGATTGGGAGATTTTATCTAAATTCTTGACTAATTAAGGTGAACAGATTAATCGTACCGTTGGACCGATGGGCACTCCATTTCGCTCACCTGATACAGTAGAGAAAAATATTATATGAGTAATGGTCAATTTATAATGTAAAAAGAAAGTTACGGTTCACGGACCTACGATGCTGACGCAAGAATCAGTGTCCATGGTGATGTTTTCAGTTGCACACGGCACATCTTTGACGTAAAAAGATGAGTAATAGTTAATGCCGACGAAATCATACGATCCTTTGAGCATGGAGGACTCTTCTGGTGTGAATGTAGGAAGGCGGTCTTTCACATAATTGACCATGTCGGTCGGGTATTTACCATAGACTATTGGCTCCAAGAAGTAGTCGAAGGTGAATGCCGTGGCTCTAGCCGCAGCTAATTTGTCAGCTTCTGAATCTGAGTAAGGGTAGTGCCATACTGTGTTCAAGGCTATACCAATTTTACCTTTCTGAATCGCCTGTAATAAACACACAAGATTATGAGCAAAAATTAGTCACAATCTACATAGTGAACCAACTTTAAGTGCTGTCACGGTTTAAAAACAGAGTAAACAGAGCCTGAGATAATTACTAAATGATCAGTAATTTATTAACTTGAAATCAATTTATAGACCGAATATTATATACATATTAACCGCAAATATTTTGAGGCATAGACGAATGTTTCATCCGGCTATGCTCATAACAGTTCGGTTTTGCATAAACAAACAAAAATAGCGAAGAAACAACTGATATCTAGTAGAAACAAGGAAAAAACATACCTGGTATTTTTCTCTGTAGATTTTGACGGCGGCTCCATGAGCAAGGAGGAAGTGATGGCCGACGATGTAAGGCTCGGTGGCTCCATCACCGCCAAAGCATTTGGGATTAGTGAAACTAGAACACCTTCCAGGTGCCTTTTCACCAGTTGTATAACCTTCATGTACCACTGTAAATGGCTCGTTTAGTGTCGTCCAATGCTTCACTCTATCTCCAAACTTCTGGAAACAGAGTTCAGCATAGTCCCGGAAATCATTCCTGTTTCATTAGCAAGAGATCAACAACAATAAATTTATAAACCATTTTCTTAAATCTTTGCGACGTGACTAGTGTGGAATGAACAACAACAACAAATATATAACCATTTTCTTAAATCATTGCACCGTGGCTAGAGTCAAATGAACAACTTACACAATCTCTGCTCCTAGGAAGCCACCGTAAGCATGTTCTAGTGCCTCTGGCAAGTCCCAGTGAAATATTGTGACAAATGGCTTCACTCCTAACACATTTACAACATTAAACAAAAGAAACATTAAATGTCGTTCTTGGACCAATCTTGATAATTTTCAAGAACCTAGACAACACCAAGATTCCATTACAAGTCCTCTAGTGACACCAAGAACTGAGAAACATAGAATCATTATTACCTTTAGACAGAAGTAGATCAATCAAGTTATTGTAATAGTCGATTCCAGCCTGGTTAATACCTCCCTTTAAGTCTCCACCTGACAAACAAAAGAAAAGTCAACAACTAATCCACCGACGAATATTAAAATTTTATGAAATCACTTGTTCAGATCTATATCTTACGTGGCAAAATCCTAGACCAGGAGATTGAGAATCGGTAAGCATCGAAGCCAATTTGATGCAGTAAATTCACATCTTCCTAGTTTTCCCAAAAAAAGAAAAAAAAAGCTTCCATGAATAAAAACGTTGTAGTGTTTAGTTGACCTTTTGTTGCATTGAGAAGGCAATACCTTGTAAAGATTGTAAGAATCATCAGCAATGGACCCATTACTACCATCCTTTATCTTCTCTGAAAATAAGACAAAATACCAAATTATATAATTTAATTTCAAGAAAAAGTGACCAATAATGTTTAATTGTTCATCAATCATCATCAACCAGTTATTTTCATATGAACACAAGGTAAAATCAAGAAATAGGAAATCACATTTCAAGATATTTGAATTTTTAATATTTAAAGAGATTCAAACAATTTGAGTTTCTAATCAAGAAGAAAAAAACCTGGGAATTTTTCAGTGAAGGTGTCCCAGATACTTGGTCCTCTACCATCTTCATGAGCAGCACCTTCACACTGCAAATCTGGAAAATGTTAATAAAAGGAAAAATAAAACAATATATTAATTTTATCTATATATATAGTAAGAACTAAACCTGATATGCAGAAGTCGCGGATCCAAAAATGAAATCCTCTGGAAAATCATTTCTTCTTAATATAGGTCTTGAAGAGTGGTTCTTGGCGAGAACTCCAATGCAGGCCAAAGTAATGAGCAACAGTACAAGAAGAGAATTACTTCTCATTTTTGGTTGTGTAAAACTTTACTATGAGAAAGGGAAGTGTTTCGATTTGATTGTAATAATGTTGTATCTATAGATATTAGATTAGAGTTGTTGGAGGAGAAAGATAGTGTCCAAAGAACAATATTTCTTTAACTAATTGTTTGTATTTAAAAACGTTTTTCCAGTTGTTCAAGAAACCTTATCCTACAAAAATCTTAAACTAATCAACATCTGAGTCATCACAGACAAAAAATTATTGCAAAGCTAAGACGTGGGAACTGAGAAGACATTTATTGCTAAGAACGCCTTTAGAAAATAAGCTTGTGATAAGTGATAACGATGATAATTTTCAAGCAAAAAGACGCAGTTTTCAGGTATTTCTAGAAATTATAATACAATTAGTGCAATGTACTTGAAATTTTCTGTGGTTTGAATCTCATAATTTGAAAAATGTAAATTTCGTATATAAATTCGCTTTGTACAGGGGTTTCTGTTGCGTGAAGTAGGTGGACACCGTTATTTTGGTCAACGTAAAAAATAGTGATAAAACCCAACTCGTGGATATAAATATACTGAAATTTACAAATATTTTTTTAAATTTTAAAATCTTCTCCAATCGTGCAACCGAGTTTTTTTTTTTTTTTTTTTTTTTCACAANTTTTAAAATCTTCTCCAATCGTGCAACCGAGTTTTTTTTTTTTTTTTTTTTTTCACAACGAAAGACTGATTTATTACTTAAGCTTGAGGTGGTCTGGAAAGCTAGACCAGAATAGAACAACCAACATACAATAAGTCCCGATAAAAGGAACGAGCCGATTTGGCTAGCGAATCAACGTCAACATTTTCCGTCCTAGGGACATAGGAGATCTTAAAATCTGGAAAGCAAATCCGCAGCGTCATGATCTTTTCTAGCTCTATTGAGAAAGTTGGCCAACCATGAGGATCTCTGAGCATCGCTATTAACTCCTTGCAGTCTGTCCCAAAGCTCTGACATGGTGAATGTTGAATCATATTCTCCATTGCCCACCGCAATGCTTCCAGCTCAGAGTGCAAAGCAGACTCCATTGCCCACCGCAGTGCTTATAACATTTATTGGAAAACTCAATCTTTTCGTAGGAGTTAACCTACATATTTCAAAATAAGTTAGAAAATATTATATTTTTGTTTCATGCATAATTTCAACATGCACTGACACATGATGAAGATTAAAGAGGTGTGTGGCCTTAGAGCACCCCCATCAAAGGTTTAGATGGGGGTTCACACATTTTTCAACACAAAAAATATTAAAATAAGTAAATCTCATGATCCCCTCTCTCCTAAAGCTCTCTCTAGTGATCCCCTCTCTCCTGAACTTCATCACTGTAGCGCGGCCCCAGGACATGTGGCGGTCCGCAATTGGTCTATTATTTTTGTTTTTTTTTTCAAAAAGTAAAAAAAAAACAAAAAATTTTAATAATAAAAAAATGAAAAGATGAACTCCAAGAGAGGGTTCATTGATGGAGATGCTCGTTGTCTATGTTTCTCCAGAAATACAGATTTTATAGGGGTTAGAGAATCCACATCAGTGAACCCCTCCCCAGGGGTTCACACAAATAAAAAATTAATTTTTTTTCGTTTACTTTAAAAAAAAATAAAAATAAAAAATGGGTCAATCATAGACTGACACGTGGTGAACCCGTGGTCATCGGGGTTCACCGCAGTGAACTTTTGAGAGAGGGGTTCATAGAAATCTGATTTTAATATTAATATTTTTTTTTGGTTTGCGTGTGAACTCCCTCCATCATCCCTTGATGGGGGGTGCTCTTAGTCCATTGAATTAGGTGAAATACGATGTTTTATTAAATTATTCACTAAAATAATAGAAATGATGCCCATCTACCATGAAATCAATTTTAACATAAACTAATATAAATTTATAATTTGATTAGGTAATTTTTTATCAACAAGAAAAAGCCTAAACTACTGAATTTAACATTTATCAGAAAACGCAAATTTTTTCGTAGGGGTTAACCCACATATTTCAAGAAAAACTAGAAAATCTTAAAATTTTGTTTTAATGCATATTTGCATCATTCACTGACATAGTATAAATGTTAAATAGGTTTGAGACCTTAGGTGTTCATGTTTCTCCAGAAATATAATTTTTGTTTTAAGGGGTTTGTCCACTGATTAAGTGGTATACGAAATTTAAATATTGAAAAATTTAAAATGATGTCCATGTACCATAAAAATTATTTTAACATACATTAATATAAATTTAGAATGTGATTGTGTATTTTTCATCAACAATAAAGAGCCTAAACTTCTTAATATAGTATTTATCGAAAAACTTGCTTTTTTGTAGAGGTTAATCCACAAATTTCGAGAAAAATTAAAAATATGAAAATTTTGTTTTAATGCATATTTACATCACACAGTGACATATTACGAAGGTTAAAGAGGTTTAAGACGTTAGGTGTTCATGTTTCTCCATAAAATAGAATTTTTGTAGGGGGTTTGTTCACTGATTAAGTGGTATATAAAATTTAAATAAATTACATGTTAGAAAATTAGAAATGATGAATATATACTAGTTTAATAATTTTATCCTACATTAATATAAGTTTTGAGTGTAGTTAGGTATTTTTAAATACCACAAAAGAGAATAAACTTTAGTATATATAGCATTTATTTGAAAACCCAATCTTTTCGTAGGGGTTAACCTACATATTTCAAGATAAATTAGAAAATATTATATTTTTGTTTCATGCATAATTTCATCATGCACTGACATATGATGAAGATTAAAGAGGTGTGTGGCCTTAGTTATCCATGTTTCTCCAGAAAATACAGATTTTATAGTGGTGTTAGTCCACTGAATTGGGTGAAATATGAAGTTTTATTAAATTATTCACTAAAATACTAGATATGATGCCCTTGTACCATAAATATAATTTTAAAATAGACTAATATTAATTTAGAATTTGATTAGGTAAGTTTTTATCAAAAAGAAAAAGCCTAAACTTCTGAATTTAACATTTATCAAAAAACTCAAATGTTTTCGTAGGGGGTAACCCACATATTTCGAGAAAAATTAGAAAATATTAAAATTTTGTTTTAATGCATATTTTCATCATTCACTAACATAGTATAACGTTTAAATAGGTTTGAGACCTTAGGTGTTCATGTTTCTCCAGAAAATATAACTTTTGTTATAAGGGGTTTGCCCACTAATTAAATGGTATACGAAATTTAAATACTGGAAAATCTTAAATGATGTCCATGTACCATAAAAATTATTTTAACACACATTAATACAAATTTAGAATGTGACTGGGTATTTTTCATCAAAAATAAAGAGCCTAAACTTCTTAATATAATATTTATCGAAAAACTTTATTTTTTTGTAGGGTTAACCCACAAATTTCGAGAAAAATTTAAAAATATGAAAAATTTGTTTTAATGCATATTTACATCACAAAGTGACATATTACAAAGGTTAAAGAGGTTTATGACTTTAGGTGTTAATCTTTCTCCACAAAATACAATTTTTGTAGGAGGTTTGTTCACTAATTAAGTGGTATATAAAATTTAAATAGATTACATGTTGGAAAATTAGAAATGATGTCCATATACTAGTAAAATAATTTTATCCTACATTAATATAAGTTTTGAGTGTGGTTAGTTTTTTTTCAATAGCACAAAAGGCTAAACTTTATTATATATAACATTTATTGGAAAACTCAATCTTTTCGTAGGGGTTAACCTACATATTCAAAATAAGTTAGAAAAGATTATATTTTTGTTTCATGCATAATTTCATCATGCGCTGACATATGATGAAGATTAAAGAGGTGTGTGGCCTTAGCTGTCCCTGTTTCTCCAGAAATACAGACTTTATAGGGGTGTTAGTCCACTGAATTAGGTGAAATATGATGTTTTATTAAACTATTCACTAAAATACTAGAAATGATGCCCATGTACCATAAAATAAATTTTAACATAAACTAATATAAATTTAGAATTTTATTAGGTAATTTTTTATCAACAAGAAAAAGCCTAAACTACTGAATTTAACATTTATCAAAAAACTCAATTTTTTCGTAGGGGTTAACCCACATATTTCAAGAAAAATTATAAAATATTAAAATTTTGTTTAATGCATATTTGCATCATTCACTGACATAGTATAAAGGTTAAATAAGTTTGAGACCTTAGGTGTTCATGTTTCTCCAGAAAATATAATTTTTGTTATAAGGGGGTTGTCCACTGATTAAATGGTATACGAAATTTAAATACTGGAAAATCTTAAATGATGTCCATGTACCATAAATATTATTTTAACATATATTAATACAAATTGAGAATGTGATTGGGTATTTTTCATCAACAATAAAGAGCCTAAACTTCTTAATATAGTATTTATCGAAAAACTTTATTTTTTGTAGGGGTTAACCCACAAATTTCGAGAAAAATTAAAAATATGAAATTTTTGTTTTAATGCATATTTACATCACGCAGTGACATATTACGAAGATTAAAGAGTTTTAAGACCTTAGGTGTTCATATTTCTCTATAAAATAGAATTTTTGTAAGAAGTTTGTTCATTGATTAAGTGGTATATAAAATTTGAATAAATTACATGTTGGAAAAAAAGAAATGATGTCCATATACTAGTTGAATAATTTTATCCTACATTAATATAAGTTTTGAGTGTGGTTAGGTATTTTTAAATAGTACGAAAGAGGCTAAACTTTATTATATATAGCATTTATTGGAAAATTGAATCTTTTCGTAGGCGTTAACCTACATATTTCAAGATAAGTTAGAAAATATTATATTTTTGTTTCACGCATAATTTCATCATGCACTGACATATGATGAAGATTAAAGAGGTGTGTGGCCTTAGCTGTCCATGTTTCTTCAGAAATATATATTTTATAGGGGTTAGTCCACTGAATTAGGTGAAATATGATGTTTTATTTAATTATTCACTAAAATACTAGAAATGATGCTCATGTACCATGAAATCAATTTTAACATAAATTAATATAAATTTAGAATTTTTTTAGGTAATTTTTTATCAACAAGAAAAAGCCTAAACTACTAAATTTAACATTTATCAAAAAACTCAATTTTTTCGTAGGGGTTAACCCACATATTTTAAGAAAAATTAGAAAATATTAAAATTTTGTTTTAATGCATATTTGCATCATTCACTGACATAGTATGAAGGTTAAATAGGTTTGAGACCTTAGGTGTTCATGTTTCTTCAGAAAATATAATTTTCGTTATAAGGGGTTTGTCCACTGAATTAGGTGAAATATGATGTTTTATTAAATTATTCTCTAAAATACTAGAAATGATGCCCGTGTACCATGAAAATAATTTTAACATAAACTAATATAAATTTATAATTTGATTAGGTAATTTTATATCAAAAAGAAAAAGCCTAAACATCTTAATTTAACATTTATAAAAAACACAATTTTTT